AGGTCATCGTGCTTCCACGCTAAACCCATCTGGTGGTGTCGTAGATCGATAAGACCAAGAGTCACCGTTTTGGGGCCTTAGGGCCCCACTACTACGACCTCGCATTTTGTCGTTGAAATAAAAGCAGGTTAAACACATGTCGACAGAGAACCATGGATAAGGGCCCAAATCTTTTGATGAAATTATTCATCATAATCGGAAAACATCAATTAATTATCATCAGAATTTCTACAAATAGCTATGAATAGGTTTTGTTCTATTTGATTTTTCGATATTCATAATTTAAGATCTATTACAAGAGAAAAATCTAGTAGCTCATAGATACGACTTAATATTTTCCAAATTCTTGAAGACTTAAATACAAATATTAATATATGTATTACGATATTTTATACTTAATGTGAAAATGATAAATTTTTTAATATGATATTGAAATTCCGCGTATATTTCTTAATGATTCTGATATAAATATATTTTGATATAAAAAATATAGACGGGAATAAAAAATTTCATTTTTGGAAATAAATTGATAATTTATATGATTCTTTAGATGTTTGAAATTTTGCTATTGATTTAAAGGTCTTATTTAAAAAGATATATTTATAGATTTCAGCTTGAATTTTCCATTTCTTTGATTTAGATTTTGATTATATCTTTATAAAATGATTCTGTGTAATATATATATATATAAAGATTCTTGAAAATATATATTAATATGATAATATGATGATTTTTTGATAGAATCTTGGATGAAAATATCTATTATTTAAAGATTATATGGATATAATTGGAATGAGATTCTCGGTTCAAATGATAATTTGGGATTGATCGAATGAAAGAAATCTTTTTAATTGGAAGAATTCGATAATTTTGGATTTGATTTATGTCGGAAATTGAAGAAACAAATGGGGAGGTCGGGATCGATATTTTGAGAGATGAGATTATATTTTATATATCTCTGTTTCTTTTATTTATATGAAGGTATTTAGATAATATTATAATTTAATTATTATATTGAGGGAATTGCTAAAAAGATGATTTGTAAAATCGATAACCTAAATTAAGAAATATATAGAATAAGAAATATTTTCTTTGTCATATATTTATGATATTTATATTTATGAATTCGATATTGATTTAATTTATCTCTATCTTATTTAATATTATTCGATTGAACTAAATTTATTTATATATTATTTATTTTATCAAATATTTATGAAATTATTTTGATTTTTTATTATTATCCTCTTAAGAATAAAAGATATATTCGAAATATAGAGGTTTAGATCTATATTATTATCTTCTTGACCGAAAAATCTAAAATATTCGGAATCTTTATATACAATATTTTGACGAAAGAATATTTTCTAATTTCATTGACATTCTTTATATATGAAAAATATAGAAGATTAGTCGGGCATGGAGGTCCCTAATATAATCGAGATAATAAATATTAATTTATCGCGGATAATTTTTTTGAAATAGAAAATTCGGCAGATATGATTCGAAATCTGTATATTTAGGTTTATATTTTGAGAGAAATCTATCGAGAAAAGCGACGAATCGAATCTTATTATTTCTCTGCAACGATATTGGATTGGAGATCGATAAGTCTTGTGGATCGAAATTATGATGATTTCTGAAGAATATTCTCGTGGCAAGAAGGTAAGGGAGGAGAGAAGAGGAATATTACGATCGAGAATATGATTTTATTTAGGAGAATTGGGAAGATTATTCGACATCTTCGTCTTTAAAATATCTGTCGTTAAGATGCGAATCCTCTCTAAATACTTATTGATCATGATTATAAAGATGATATCCCATCTTCCCGAGATATCTCTTCAAGATATTTCTATTGATATTTAATCTATAAAGGAACCACTTCTTAATATGATAAGAAATGATTTTCTTTATGATATGATCGATCAATAGACTCATAACGAATCTATAGATCGATTATTTTCTTGATATAGAGCAATTATTGATTAATGGGCAGGATCCGTTATTCATCCATTTCTTCTTCATAAAGAAGTAATTTATAATAATAAATTCCTAATATATTAATAAGAATCTTATCTCTTTAAAGACCGATATGAGATCCATTATTCTCGGATTTATTTGATCTAAACGAATCTTCATAACTATATTTATTCTGGAGGAGATTAAATATCGAGGAAAATTGAGAATGATTTATTTCTTTTTATAAAGAATAGATCCGAGATCAAGATCCATGCTCTACACACATCGATATTCCAAAATCAAAAATCTTACTTAAAAAAAGATCTTCATAGTATCTTTAACGAAACTAATCCATAAGAATTCCTTTATGAATATGAAATATTTCTTCCTGCCTCCGTACGATTTGCTCATTAAATTTGGTTTTAGTAATCATTTGATCTATGGGGATATTTTCGAATAATATCATAAGATCAATAACGACATTCGATAATAGAATCATTATCTTGTCTCTTAAGACGCAATCTTTCTCAATTTACGAGGCGGCGAGCTGATCGGACCTTTTCGATATCTGATATCGAATTGACCGATGATGCCTGATCGAGAAGTCAAATTTCTGAAATATTATATTTTCAAAGAAGCGATAGATCTTATGAATAGATTTGATCTTGAATTCGATATCTCTAAATAGATTGTTAATTTGCTCGTCGGGAATAAGTTCGGAGAGATATCTCAACTTTTCAAGTTCTCGTATTGAGAATTATTCCCAGATAAAATTTGGCTATTCAGAAATTTTAATTTTTAATTATTATAATTTCTTGGACAACTTCTAATCAATTAAGAAATATATTAATCGATCAATTGCTTCCAATAATCTTTATATCAATATATTTTGTTCTTTATCTTGTAATAATCTTTCTTCTTCGGGCGAATATATCTAATAGAAGAGAATAATATCATGAGAATTTAAAATATTTTTTTACGGATACCATGAATAAATATCCAGATAATTAATCCGATAGAAAGTCTATTCGAATTATCTCTCTCCTTTTCAATAATAATTTCAAATTAGATTGCCAAACGGCGACGAAGGGCTGGGACTCGATTTTTTTCGAGATATGAAAATCTTATTCTAATCTTCGTCCGATTCATCAAGCAAATCTCTCCAAATTTCCCGTTTCATGTAATCAATCTTCTATATTTCAAGATCTTCAGGGCAATATAATGATTTATTAACACAGGCTACGAGTAATACGAACTCCAAGAGCTAAGTTCTCCCCCTCGCCCAGATAAAATTTATCATTCGCCGATATTAAATTTTCAAATAATGAGAATACATGATTAGAGATCATGCTCTTTTAAAGATATAAAGAGTCTACGAATTATATATAAAATCTTAATTTTTATAATAATCATCTCTTTACGACAAGAGAATAGATATTATATTCAGAATTTTCTTCGACAGATAATATGTCGATTTGCTCAGAGATTAGCTTACGACCAATATTAATATTAACTATCGATTCTTTTTAGAGACGTCTTGTAATTTTAATAATTAATTAAAGCCGCCCTCCCTAGAATCTAATTCAGCTATACTAATAAGAAGAAATAATACGGTCATAATATAATGATGTTCATCAATTGTTCTTCTATTTAAATCAGTTTTGTTTTTATTTAGTATTTGTTCTTTTGAAAAATGTTTAAACTAATGAATTTCAAGCTCGTAATCTAAAATATATTCTATTCCATTCTGCCGACCTATATCGATTCAATTCAATTCTGCCGACCTATCCCGAATCGCACGATATCAGTCTATTTAGAGCTTTCCTAGAAAAATATTTCATTTGGCCTTCTCATACAAATCCCTATGTGGTATATGAATCTCAATCACAAACCGCCTTCGGGTTCATTTCGTCCGCAAGGAACGCTGCAAAGAAACTTGGCACCGGGCTCCTGCAGTCACCAGCCTTGTCAGCAGTCGCACGTACCGGAGGGGGATTCCGATAACCGCTAAACCCTAAACCCTGACTGTGAGGTTCTTTTTGAGTTCGGTGTCTGGTTTCCTGCGAATCAATTAAGGACTTTGGGGCTGGTCCTTCGGAGCCACACTGAGTGAACAAATGTACCCGAACACACATAAGCAACATGGTCCTAAAACAGCTCTGTCCAACCGAAATGCCACGTGATCGGTGCCTCCACAACCCATGACTCATGACTGTTCAGGACTTCCATCCTTCCGCTTGTGCACATGTCCCCTCCTCGGGTCGCTAGGATCCGCAATTGTGGGTATTGTGGGTGCAGGCAGCACCGTTTGAGGCTATGGTTTGAAGATTTATGCGAGAAGTGAAGAATCAACAGGGGATAAGATAAGCCATGGCTGCAAAGGGTAAGCAAGGTGTGCAGATGCGCCGGACTTTTGCCGCCGGCAGCTTTCCAGGCTAAACCGTTCAAAGCCTTGTGCCAAGGCTAACAAGACCGTGGCGCCTCGCTTCGTTGATAAAGCCGTGGAAAGTTGCAAATGGATGGAATGGCTTCGACTGGCAAACTCTCGAGAGGGACCTGTAGACGACCGGACACTGATCACTTCAACCCCAGCCGTAATTAATTTCAAAAGTCATCTTGGCTACACTCCCTCCCCACAAGGTAAAGCCTTCGCAGCTTTGCCGCAAGTGCTGTGTCAAGCCTGAAGCTGTACAGGGGCATCGTTGCAAAACTGAGAGACACCTAGAGGCACGTTCGCGGGCCTGCCGGCATTGGCCAGACTCCAAGGCTAACAAGACCATGGCAGTCAAGCAACTCACGGCGAGGTGCGACGTCCGATTCTAGCCAGAGGCCAACTGTGCAACACGTCTTGAAAATCAGATTAACCATGCCAAGCTACTACGAAGGTATGCCCCATGCAGTTACACATGCACTCTTCTAATGCTGCCCTTCTTTGACTGCTGCTTGGTTGTTGGGTCTCAGTCGTCTCCTGAAAAACTCACCAGGCCTCGGCGTACAGACTACAGGTGCAGAGGCCGATGAAGCCTCCGGCTTTAGAGAGGTCACTGCTCGTAGCTTGGAAAGCCCAGGCTCGAGTTGGTGCGGAGGTTGGTCTCTACTTCGATCGCGGCTTCGCCTTCATCTCTCTCCTCATCCGGCTCGCCATGTGCGTCCCGGGGGATCGCAGGCCAGAGACGAGGGCGGTACTTGTTAGAGAGGCTGCGGATAGCGCGGTCCAGCAGTGGCCCGTCCGACTGCAGGGCCAGGATGTGCTCTTTGCCGAACTCGAGAGTCTCTGCGTTGCCTAAGCTTGCGGGATGTTGCTATGGAGCTAAAGGAAAGGACCGGGGCTACATAGATTACACATGACCTGTAAGATGACCTGGACCTAGATGTGGAGAGTCGAAGCCCGTGAGTTTCCTTGCGAAGACAACTCCCCAAAATGTGAATCGGAGCCTATCATGGCCCCCTGTATCCGCAGAGCGGCCTTCTCCCGTCAGCTCCAGTAGCTGCATCTGTGTGAGGGGCACGAAGAGAGCTGTGAATGGCGACCAGCCCGGTGCCACCTCGCATTCGGCATCCCGAACACGGTCGTGGAGCTCTTTCAACGGCCCTTCAGCATCGAAGAGCAGCTCATTGACATGAGGAGCATTGGCCTTCCGAGTAAGCTTAAAGCAAATGACGCCATCCGGGCTCAAGGGCGGCGGATCGGCCCGGCTGTTGCGAATTGCCACCAGCAAGTCGTCCGTCTTTGCATCCTGGCCCTCCATCTCCTCATCAGAGTCTGCTGGATCTGCCTCGCCTGCCGGCGCATCAGCAGGCGTCGCTACCTCGCCCTGTGGCTGCTGGCTTTGCTGCAGCAGTGGCGCCGTAAGGTGGTCCACTGGTCCTTCGCCCTCTCGCTGAGCAGCGCTCGCCGCCTGCAAGACTTCCTCCTCAAGGCCCTCCAGTATGGAAGCAAGCTGAGGCCTCTCTGCAGCGAAAGAGAGTACCGAGTTCACCAAGGCCGCCGGCACCTTCTTGCCCCGACCCCACATGACCAGGAGCTGGTAGACACCCAGCCCCGCGGGAGCAACGAGACACTCAGCACGAGTGAGGGCGACGCGAAGTGCTGCCCCCGCAGCAGCACGGCGCTCCTTCGGCGGTGCAATTGCAACCCTTATAGAGTCCTCGCATTCAGCGCAAAGCCAAGGCCCGACATTTGACAAACATGCTTCGCGGGTCCATCCTGTGGCACTATTGGCGCCGGCTGATGCAAGCAACTCTGCACATGCTGACTGCCCTTGATATGCAGCCATATCCAGCAAACGAAGAGGTTGCGGCGCACGCAAAGGTTTGCCGCAGCAGACAACAAATGAAAAGCGAAATTCTGCCAAGGCCATGTTAGCCGCAGAAACAAGGCTGAGTCTGTCCACGCAGAGCTGCGGCTGCCGCATGTTCGCGTCGAATTTGCACAACATACTCCCCGAGTTTGGTGTTTTCAAAAACCGTTGGCTCCGGCCTTCAGGGAGCAGGTGGGACAAACGGTTCCAGAGCTGCAGGTCGCCAAACAATGCGATGGCTTCACGCAAAGGTATGTCATTTTCTGTGATGAGGCTCTGCAGGGCTATGCCTGAGAGCAGGGCAGCTGCCAGGACACCGTTATGAAGGTCAACGACAAAAAATTCCTCGGACCTCCATCGCCTCAAAGGCTTCCGTGCACCACATCGCTGGGCGCAACGCTGGGCCAAGTCTGCATCTCCAATGAGGATGGCGAGGTCCAGCAGCCGCAGCATGGCCGCCTCGGAGATCTGGAGGTTTCCAAACTCCCCACCCGAGCGCAGCGCATCCAGCACCGCACGGGCCACGGGTCGCTTCACTGCGGTGTCGGCGCAGTTGATTGCGCCGGAAAGCGTTGCGCCCCAGTCCCTCATCCATTCGCCGATTCCGGTGTCCGATCCCCAGCAGCAGTATCGGCATGTCCGCCAGTTGTTATCGCAATTGCATGCCTCCCAACCGTATAGTTATAGTTGTGAGCCGCGGAGATGGGCGTAGGGTCCGAGGTGCCAAACCTCCAAACGGCAGCCCGGCACCCCATGGGTCAGCAAGGCCATCGCTGTGTCATCGCGGTTGAAATCTAAGCACAGCTCAAACAAGTGAGGCTCATGGCTAATCACTTGCATGTCACCAGCAATGATGGCCTTTGCGATCTGGAACTCTAGAACGTCCTCAATCTCGCCAGTGCTTCCGCAGCGCATGAACTGCGATGCCGCCATGCGCAATTCAGAACCGCAAGAGCTGTACAGCCTACCCCTGCGCCGGTCGTCAAGAACCTGCCGCATGCCAACACGCAGAGGACTTAAACACGTCCGCACCATCAACAGCATCAAAATTTGACTCCTGAATGCTCTTATGCACACATACAGGCCTACATGCATGCATGCACCCATACATACATGCACTAGACTATCACCTACCTCGCTACCTACCTCCTACCTGCCCACCCACCAATGACTGTCGCTCAATCCAGTGCGTTGTCTCAAACTCCAAGCGCAATTAGCGCGAGACAGTCACATGATGCATCACATCCGCCCCACATCCCGCGTCTTTTGCTGCAGCCAGGCCTTGATGCGCCACGCAGAAGCCCTGGCTGGTGCTGTCCTCCGTGTACATGCATGTCGGCTGAAAGTGCAGATGTGTTACACCGATATCTTGAAACGAAGGTTGGTCTAGCGATATGAATTACAAGGCTCCGTCCAGGAGATCGATCGTCAACCTAAGAAGGGCTTCAGCCATGTAGCTTCTGGCGACGGTTCGTTCGAGAAGCTGCAAAGCGACAAGCCCCCAGGCCAGCCTTGAAACTCCGCAGCGGCTCGTGACATCGGGCACATGGTTGCGGACCGGTTCCTACTGTTGATGATAGAAATCCTGCATTACCTTAAGGACCCTAAACCATGGGGATTATGGTATATTCCTTTTTTTGGGTAATGCAGGATTTATATCATCAACCGTAGAACTGGGAGCTTCCACGACATGTTGACACGCATGGGGAAAAGAAGGGCCTGGACAACATATCGGCCGCATGTTCTGCTAGCCACAAGCCTGCGATGTGTAAGCTTTCATGCAGGTGTCCAGTTGCACCATCCTGTCTTCTCAACACATCCGTACGAAAATGCTGAGCACTCGCCCTCGTTCGGTTGGACTCCCACCATCACCATCACACTACCCACCTGGATCATTGGCATGCAGCTAGAAAGCTACAACATTGAATGTGGATCGCTACGGCATGTGCTTTCCGAACTGCTATCATCAAATCTGGAAAATCACCCCTTTCAGTGAACTTCCCTCATCCCACACCACATCCCGATTCGTAAGCTTCTATATACATTCTTATCCTTTTTTTCGCAGTGGTGCCTCTTCCGTCGAAAGAGCCATTGAAGTTTCAGGAGACCCCCGCGCAAGTGGCGAGGTTCCCTCGATCTTACGCCTTGCGAGCCGTCGGCGGCAATCTGCTGAGATCCACGGGCACATCTTAGGATCTCACAGGTCTGGGCAGCAGATCTGCTAGATTGTTAGACTTTGCTGCAAAACCTTTCCGATCCAATGGCTCCCGGGGTTGGCTGCTCGGACAGGCCCTAAATCCTGCAACCTAAGTAGCCCTGAGTCGTATAAATCCTACACCTTGAAACCCTACGCCCTAAACCCTGAACCCTTGACCACAGAAGTTTCGTCCCCAATGTGATGTCCGATACAGAAGCTGGAGACCCTGAATTCTGAAGCCCCGAACTCCACAAAATCCTCTAGACCGACCACCCCACACCTTCAGGATCTTCAGTTCTTCAAAGTTAAAAGACCTTGGCTGAGATCTGAACCCCTCCTAAACGTTAAGCTTTCGGCTTGCATCTGATATTTCATATAGAACCCCAAAAAGTTAAAGTCCTCCTAAGAGCCAACCAGAAGAACGCCAGTAGACTTTCATTGCGGGAGGTGCGGGGTGGGGGATCTTGGCCCAGCTGTAGGTTGGAACTCCATGTTGCAGAGGCATTGGCTGGTTGAATCTCGGCAGATACGGTTGATGATATAAATCCGCATTATCCATAATAGGAGTATAATAACTCGTGTAGGGTCTCAACCATAGGTTTAGGGTTTAGGGACACCATGCTCAAGGTCCGTTTCTGGGTTTAGATTTCTTGCGGTCTCTACTCCAGTCTAGAGTTGCCTCCAGCGGCCCCGCAGGCAAAACTGATTGGTTCTGCGCTGCCTAAATTCGGCAGCAGCAGATTTGTGCCCTTTGGGCATTGAAGCTTCAAATGAGAGCCACCGGCAGGTGTCTCAAAACATCAGTGGGGTGCATTTGTCATGCGCACTTGTGACGCTCATGATCCGCACCGAGCTCGGAGTAAGAGTAAAACTACAAGCCGTAATCACTTCCCACGTTTACTAAACACCCCCCTAATATTAAGACTTCCCGGCCCTGGAATTTTGCGGTTTCGGGCGTACTAAACCAGAAGGACCAGGGCTTTAGGGGTTAAGGTCTCAGGGCTAGGGCTTAAGACTTTAGGGTTTAAGGCTCTAGGGTTTAAAGCTTAGGGCTCCAGGCTTTGGGGCTTAGGGGTTAAGGGCTTAAGGTTTAGCGCGTAAGGCTTCAGGCTCAGGGCTCAGGGCGTAGGGCTGCCGGAACGGCTGCGTGATTGACCGGCTGTGATGTCTGGCTCACGAATTATTCCTGCCGAAAACCCCCCTAATATTAAAACCAAACCGCCGAATTTCAGTTTTAATATTAGGGAGGGGGGGGGAGGGTGCGTTTAATATTAGGGGGAAGCGATTATTATTGCATGTGCCACGAGAGTCGTACGTCGTACCCCAGAAATGATACAGTAAGATTGCAACTTCATGATGCGCTCAGAAGACGTCGTAAGCCGTGCAAAGCTTATAAAGCAAATGCCAGTAACAGTGTTAAAGAATACATCCATTCTTTCTCTACACTTTACATCGGACAGCTTCGAAAGACGAAACGCACGCGCTCTCTGTCTGTCTCTCTCTCTCGCTCTCTCTCGCTCTCTCTCTCTCTCTCTCTCTCTCTCTCTCTCTCTGTTAAATGCAAGTAAGAAAGGAGAACACAAAAGCTCTTCCAGCCGCACACCCTAGTTACAAGCCTTGCCCCAAACGCTCGTCAACTCTGTGAGCTCTCATAAGATCGATTTGCTAGACCTGAGGATGTGTAGGGCCAAAAACGGAAACCTAATCCCTTCCTTAAAGGAACCCTCAGAAAAGGGACTCTTAAAGGAACCGTCAAAAAAGGGGCTCTTAAGGGAACCCTTAAAAAGAACCCAAAGCCCCTCAACCTCTTAGGCTGTCGGGTCGGGAGTTCAGGGCGCTGCACGGGTCCCAAACTCCGAAGCTCTGGCCACTGACGTCAGGGTTACACACTCGGCCGATGCTCATTGAACATTTACCTCTTTCCAGAAGGGTCTGAGTAGGAATATGATACACACCTTGTGCTCGAAAGGCAATATATCATCTTGCTACTCACCCTAAACCCGAAACCCTGTTAAGAGGACCCCTAAAACCCTAAACCCTAAACCCCATTTTAAAACCTCAAACGCCTAAACCCTAAACCTTATTTTGAGGACCTCTCAAAACCTCAAACGTCTAATGCTCAGACCCTTTTGGGATTTGGCCTGGAGAAAAGCGGCCAGGCTGCAGAGCACTTCGAAGTGGGCCCGGTAGGTCTTTAAGGGTTGAGGGTTTAGGGGCTTAGGGGTTTAGGGTTTAGGGTCTGGGGTGGCGGTAGGTATTTAAGACTCCTTTTTGAGCTGAATATCCCTCCTAAAATCTTCCAAAATGGAGTAATTAAGGAAAATGCACCCTTAAGCCAGATTCGGGAGCCTGCTCCAATCTTTGGGTTCATGTTGCTTCAGTAAGGGATTTTGGAAGATGTGGGGTTTAGGGTTTGGGGTTTATGGCTCAGCTACGATGCGAGGGGGCCGCAGTAGTGCTGGGTGTTCTACAGAGGGCGCAGCTCACATGGAGGTGGCGTGCGCCAGCCGAGCATTTCGCCACATCGCCTTGTCCTCGTCCGCGCATGCTTTGGGGCTTGTAAGACCCAAGGCAATGTTTCTAGAATGGTCCGAGCTGGCAACCTAAATCCCTCGATCCCAAACACTGACACCTGCAGGGGAGGAGAAATGAAGAGAATCATATTTCGAAGCATGGTGTCTAAATCCCAAACTTAAGACTCAGCCCGAAAACCCCCTTAAACCTAAACCCCTAAACTTCCAAATTTTCGCCATCCCCATCCCCTTCTTTCTGGTGAACCGTCGTGGCCCGTCCTTTTCGCAGAAGGAGAAGCACTGGGGACCGGCGCTCTGGGTGCCTTTCCGTGCAGCGCGAGGAGTCCGGGTCCGCGTTTTCGGTTTTTTCGGATTTATAGGTTTAGGGCTTATAGGGTTTCTAGGGTTTGTAGGGTTTAGGGTTTATAGGGCTTCTAGGGTTTGTAGGGTTTAGGGTTTATAGGGCTTCTAGGGTTTGTAGGGTTTAGGGCTTATAGGGCTTCTAGGGTTTGTAGGGTTTAGGGTCCTGCATTTGCTTAACCTTGGCTACGTCGGCTAATCAAGGTTTCAGGGTCTCTTTGTGAAGGCTTCGCTGGTGCAAGCATGGAGCGCGAGCAAGACTGAGGATGCCCTTGCGAAGGCTTTGGCATGTTTGTACATGCCAAATCAACGGTTTGGGTTCAGGTTTGGGGGTTTAGGGTGAGAGTTAGTTTAGGGTTCAGGCTTCAAGGCTTCGGGGTCTT